CATTTTCCTTAATTTCTCCACTGTAGTAATTATGGTTTTGTTAGACAGTAAATGATTCAGTGTTCTCATTCCATGGGGGGAAGGGGAGCAAGGATGTTGAAAGAGGAGTATTGTCTGAGCGTAGCAGGATTAGCTGGTGTTACCACCTTGCACTGATTGAGCACCACTGTTTAGAATAGATCATCAACTCTAATTGCTAAAAAGCAGCCTGGCGTCACAGGGCGGTGAGACTCCTGAAGTTTGAGGCTTCTCTGTTGCATGAGTTGAATATAGGTGTAATATCTAGGCTGATCAGTTGTAGTTCACTGGGCTTCCTTCTGCTCTGTGTAAGCCCCTGTCCCTCTCTTTTCTGTCATTGCTGAGTTCGTCTTTTCTCTTGCGCTCTCAATGGTCAGAACATCCAGATCGGATCTGCATGATGAGGATCAATTGCCACTTCCTGTCAAGAAGCTAGGAGAATCATAGGAAAAGGAATCTCAGAAGCAATTTTTTGCATTTTTCTAGGGAATTCTGTTTCTCAAGTGTACAGTTGTTCAATCACAAACAAGCAGGGCCTCTTGGATTTCATCATGGAGGTGTCTGCAGTCAGGGTTTTTGTCCAGGCATTCCAAGTGAGGAAAGATTTTTGCTCCTTGATTGAACTTGTCTTGTTCCTGCAAACCATAAACCTAGAGTTATTTCCTATTCTGAATCCACAGAAAGGCATCTCTTGGGTATCTGCAAGAACTTCTGTGTCTTGAAAAGCAAGATTTCTTTAAATTCTTCTTTTAAAACTATCAGCAGAGAGAAAAGATTAAGTAAGGGGAAGAGGGTTGAAAGAGGGGAACAGTGTGGTGATATACAGCGAGATGAGGAATTTACTGAAGCAATAGTGCCAGCCTCCTGCCAGAGAACCTGTTCTGTGAAGCTGGCTGGCCCTGGTCCATCAAACGCTCTGCAAATGAGCAGGAAAACTGAGCTGGTGGCTCTGCAGGAGAAAATTTCTCATGTGTTGCGATGAGTTAACCTTTGTGAGTAGTGAAGGTGGTAGCAGAGCTTTGCGTTGGTTGGGATGGAAAAGCTATGAGTGTGGGTGGCACAGTGAGGAAAACGGTAGCGTCTGAAGCTGATGAACTGGATTGTAGTGGTGGTGGGCTTGTATTTACACTTCAGGCTGTTCTCAGGTACTGTGGAAGTTGAAGACATCACTGCTCCTGAGCTGATGGTTGCCATCACTGCAGCGGAGGTGTCAGGAAGGAAGGAGAGCCTGTTCATCTGCTGTATCAGCAATCAGCAGCTTAGCTCACTCTCATGTGTCCTTTAAAAAAACCAAACCAAACAAAACCTTAAAATCCTGACATCACATTTTGAGACACTGGGAAAGAATCCTACGGCTGGTTATGGCGAAAGGGTCTTGACTGAAAAGAACCCGAAGCTTTGCTTTCCTTTGACAAGATTCCCATTTCCGTAGAGGGCCTCTTCAGCATGTGGAGGCACAACCATGACTAGCTTAGGACATAGATAAATAACGACTACAACTGAACAGAAACAGTTGTAGCTGGGAGAGGGCCAAAAGAATGTCTCAGCAGTAAGTGTTTTTGTTTGTAATTTCTTTCCTAGGAATGAACAAACACTAGCACCATTTTAAAGCTAAATTGTCAGCTCTCATTTGCTTTGCTAATGCTTTCTTTGTAGCGCTGCGTCTTGCATCTGTGTAGAGAGGGGTTGTGGTTCGTGGGTTGTTTTTTCAACTCGCTGGAAGAATTTAGCACACCAAATGTCACAAAGTGTTGAATTTATGGAAGTGGGGTTGATGATTTACCAGGTTTATGTAGTAGGAGTGAATGGTTCTTGAGATTGCAGTCCTATTGTCTTGGTTCTCTTCCTGTTGCTGTAATTTATGATATTTGGTGAGGAAGTCCGCATTTATGTTAGGATCTAGCCATTTCCATTTCCTGTCGATCGGCAGAAAAGGAATAGGGTGAAAGAAAATTTCTCTCTCAGTTGAGAGTCTTTGGTTTCTGTCTCAGTGGATTGATACCAAATTTGGACTATTTATGACCAGAGAGAAGAGGCTTTATACAGTAAATTAATTCCACTTGTGCAGTCTTTTAAAGGGACACTTGCTTCCAAGACTTGGGATGTCAATTTGGGCATAACTATTGTGGTTGTAGTAATCGGATCATAATTTTACTGAGATGACTTTACACCGGTCACCCATGCCTACACAAAAGCTTTCTTCTGAGAGCCTTAGTGCCTGTGTCTTGCTGGAGCTTTATTTCCGTTAACTGTATCCTGTTGCTAACCTGCACGGATGGCTATCCTTAAATGAAGAACTCTAGTTTTTCTGTTTCTTCTAACCTTTTTAGTCCCTACTGGCTAGTTCTGCTTCAGTAGGGCTAGTTTAAAAATGTAAACGTTATGCTTTCTAATCCTGTAGGCAGGTGCTTGAGACTGTCAACCTGTTTGTTTGAAAGAAAATAGTAAATCAACCATTATTTTGACAAACTCACTTGGAGACTCAGCAGCAGGAAGACACAGGGCTGCAAGGAAGTCCCAGGAATTTATCACCCTTATTTCTGTGGCTTGAATTTTGCTTGTTGAAACTTTCCTCCTCTTGCCAAATAGCATTAGGCTTTTTATTTTTTTATTAGCTTATGCTCAAAGAATCCTTTTTTCAAGCAATAATGTAAATGATCTGCATCGCGTGGTAGTTAAGGTTGCAAATAGTGTTTTAGCCTGAGCTATCTTCTCATTTTTCAGTAGTATCTCACCTGAACTTCAAATTTGCAAATGCAAATCTGTGAACCATAGTGCTTGCATTCCTGTGAGGATAAGTTTGTTTTATTGGTAGCATATTAGTGTGGAGCAAGTGATTAGAGAGAATTCTTTGCTTCCCAGCACGTAAAACAGAATGTGACGCTACTAGTACTTAAATTGAGAGTACTGGTATTTCTTCATAATGTCCTGGTATTCCTTAGTAATTCCAACAATTTTCTGCGGCAAATGTTTCATTATATATAGTGTGTAACCACCAATGTCAAGAGTCTAATTAAATTTTGTGGAGAAATTAATCACAAAATAACAAGCTACAAACAAATCTGTGGGTTGGCTTATAAGGAAAAATCCCTCCCCCTTTCTGTGCAGGTTTGTTTTTCCTAAGTGGCAGTCACCCTGGTCTGTTTGCTACCCAGATGAACCAACGCGGGGAGTTAGAACTGCCTCTGAAAATGGACAGGCAAATCTCGGGAAAGCCGGTGGATTTTGTAGCTCATGCAGTCGATCGAAATACTGTCCTTTTGGCATATACTTTTTGTTACAGCTCTTTTTTTTTTTTTTTTTTTTTTTTTTTTGGAAGGTGTACTTTTCTTACACTGGCAGCATACCTTTCTTGTGAGCTGGATTAATTTAACTGAGCTATGTATTGCAATCAAGCATTAAAATTAATGCTTTGGTTGGCATTTCAGTGCTTCGTGGACATTCTAATTTTCAGCTGCTGGATTTGTTTGGACTTGTTGGGGCCTGACTCAAACATAGTGTTAGAGGAGTGAGATGAAATTTTGTGTGCAAATGCACACCCTCCGCTACGCGGTGTAAGAGCCGTTTCAGCTTCACAGCTCTAGTCTATGCGTTTCGAACGACACTGGCATTTGACTGTCCAGCCCAAAGGAGTCGAGTCCATTCCCTTTGCGAGCATTTCATTACTACAAAATCACCTTTCTAAACAAAATGGCCAGTTAGCTGGAATGTTTTAGCAGAGACGCTGGCTGTGTTGGGAGGCTTAGAGCCTAAACCCTTTAATCACCTTTCCTGATGTAGCCCTCCAGTTCAGGCTGGAAGTGTCTGGCGCATCGAAGGATGCTGTAAGGCAGCAAATACAGTGGCCTGTGCTGCTCGGTGTCTAATACTCTGCTGCCTTGCAATAACCAAACCAAAACAACGGCAAAGAAAACATGCTGTTTGCGATCACTGATTTCTTGTGTTACAAATATGGGCTTAATTTTAGCTTGAGAAGTAATACCAAATAATTCTGTTTTCTTACTGCTATGTGTTTGATCGCTTCCAATATTTCGGCCCCAAGAGATGAGAGGTTACAAGTGCAGGTCAGGCTACAAAAAGGCTTGAAATGCTGCAGGGCTTTTTGTTTTAATCCCCTCAAGGTTTCAGCCTTTCTTGTGGTTCTGATGTAATGTGAGAAATTAAAACAAAAGACAGCAGCCAGATGGTACATCTCCAGGATCAGACAGATTAGTTGTTGGTTTTTTTTTAAAAAAGGGAAAAGTTTACTAGTACTTGTTCTCTTCTGGAGTTTTTGCTTCTGCGGAGCTCGAGGATCTATCTTCTTCTGCATGCTTCTACCAGTAGGCAAACAGTGGAATTACAGCTACTACCAGGTCAAAAAAAGCACAACCGCCTAGCTTGCTTTCACTGAATATCAAATAGACATGATTAAAAGTCTGATTTTCTGCATCATAGGGTGTGCTTCCTGGACAGTAGTCTAGAAGTTGACTCTGTTCATCCTTGCCTTAGTTTTTGGAGGTGCTGTAACAACTCCTGCAGTGGTCTCACTTTTTTTTGCTAAAAGCTGGTCTCAATTTGATTAGTTTAAGACGAGGCTCTGAATTTGCACTTTCCCTTTGCCCTGTTGTTTGGAAATTATTCCATTTTGTTAGCCTAAGTTGGCTTTGTGGTTACAGCATATTTTCATGCACTCCAGGTTTCCCTTTTTAGGTTTTCATTGCTTTGATATTCCATTTAGATAGCTGTTCTGATTCAAATTATTGCATTTAAATACCATATAGTGTGTATCTCTGATCCCAAGGGAAACTACAGAAGTTCTGTAATACGGAGGCTTTGAAATCATAATGTACTCGCATATATTTGGGTTCAGGTTTTCTTCAGCATGTGCATTGCTGTGTTCAGGTGAAACCTTCATGTCACTGAAAAGAAAAGCAAGCAGACCTCAGAGTGAAAAATGAGGACATGGCTAAATGAGTTTTCTTTCCTTGATTTTAGGGGACATCACACAAAAGGGGTATGAGAAGAAGAGAGCAAAGCTGCTGGCTCCATATGTTCCACAAACCCAAGGTAGGTACTTGTTTCAGCTGCCATAAGAATTTTGCATAGCCTGGACATTCAAGGGATCTGTGGAATGGCTGTGGAGTGCCAACTCTGAACTATTCTGTTTCATATGTGTTTCCTTAGCTATCTAATAATTACACTGCGGAGGCTACATGGCTACCGGGAAGTCATGGGCAGTATTTTGCCTCTAGTTCGCTTGTTCATATTCAACTCCAGGGATTCCTGGTAGTTCCGGAGCAGTTTGGTGGGTCTGTGTAGAGTGCTGTGTGTGTCAACACTTTGTATGCTCTGTCCTTATCTCCCACATACATGAATCACGTCCTACTCCCTTGTCAGCTGAGAACTCAAAGGCTTTGAATCAGTTGTGAAGTGTGAGGTCCTCAAGAATCATTCTTGAAACCTTCTTTAAAATGGCTTAACTGCAGAGTTGGTCTGTACTGTGTCCTCCTTTCAGCCATCTTAATTCCTTGTTGGAGAAACATTAGAATTTTCATAATCTGTTGGTTTATTTTACCAGAGTAGCTGAATTCATGTACTTCGTTTACATCTGTGTCTTCTGGTTTGAAGATCCTTAGCAGTAGAGCTGTTTGTGTGGAGGATAATTATATATAATTGTAAACTGAAGGACATGGCTGAAAGTATGCCTAATAATTATTATGGGGAAGTTTACCCAAAATAATTGCACTACTGATATGCTGAGATGCTTAACCATTAAAACCAAATGTGTCTGGCTCTGAGTAGTTTGGGGATTGAATGGATATGACAGGCAGTCGTGACTGGACTTACTGTAATTTACTAAGACTGAACTACTGCCAAAAAAAAATCTAAAAAAGAGTGAGGGCTAAAAGTGCATTTATTGACCAGCAGCACCGCATCCATTGCAGAAAGATCGTATAGGGTTTTTTTCTGCTGAAATTACAGCAGTTCATGTCAGGTAATTTCTTCAGGAACATAAAAGGACTCTGCCACTGTCGTGCGGTAGCTTCTAGACTCTGCCACTCCAAAACACTTGATGGTTGCATT